TAACATAATATTGTCAAAACAAAGTTCTTGTTTGAAATTTGGAACTGAAATTGTAACAGGTACTCTTCTCATAATAAAATTGGAATAACAAATTGCTAGTAGGAAAATTAAAAGATTATTTTATGATGAAAATAAATATTAATAAGAGTCAAGACACAAATACAAAATTAAAACACCTACTTAGGACAGAAAATAAAATAAAATAAGCAGAAAAAGTTACTAAAGGAAAGAAGGGAAAGTTGGTTATGAAAGGAGATTAGGTTGAGCATGACCCGCAATTTTGTCCTCAGATCCTTTTGACATAAAAGGGTACACAATTAAAAGATTAAAACTAATATTTTTAATTTTTTTTACATAATTTTTAATTAATAATTTTTTTTCATATTTTTTAAAAGAAAAATGTTTTACTTTCCTCGAGTGGGACATATATTTAATAATTTTTTACTAACATTTTTTATAAAAAAAATATAGTTGTTTTATAATTGAAATGATTATAATGCAGATACAATACACTGTCATTTTAACAAAATTTTAATATAAATTTTTATTAATCTTTTATATAATATTCTTTAAATAAATATTTTTTTCGATAAAATTGAGTTCTAATCAAACAGTCCTCAACATCGAGGACTATATTTAATGAAACGGGTCCAGCAGCTTGTTGCCTAGTGGCCACTCTCTCTTGAAGAAGGTGCATGCAGACTAAAATCCTGGCTTCAATGCGCCGACGTGCAACATCCCACATCCAGTAGAAAATTTGTATTTTTTCCCTCTCATCCTCTAAGAGTCGAGATGAACGTCAATCACAACCTTTCTTGCACAAGTTGTTCTAGAGGGTTTTTTTTTTTAATCAAAACGTGAATTATTTGATATCACAAAAATTTAAAATTTTAATTTTAACTATAAATGAAGATTTTTTTATTAATAACTAAATTCTTATAAGCACAAGTTGTTGCCAAGTTTTAACTTATAGACTGCTTCTATTTTTTTTTTTATTTCTTTTTATTTTTAATTTTTGAAGGAAAATTTTCCAAGTGCTAGCTTAGGACTAATACTTCTAACTTAAGGTTCGCAAGCATTTATTATTGAGGTGACAATTAACCCACGTTTTATTCTTTTAAAGCTAGGACGCTTTTGAAATTGTAATGGGTACTTCTTGATGTATATACTTTTCGTCTACATACTTGCATGTTTATGACTCAAAATTTTATGTTCTTTTACTTTCATTGAAAATAAAGTATCACTAAATAACTTATTTCTTAATACAATAAATAACTTCGTTCTTTGAGTTCTTAACACTACAAGTTATGTAAACAAAATTTATGACTCAACTAACTAAATCATTTACCTTTGAATTTTCCCTCTCTAGTCTATGCTAGATGTTGTACAAAAAAGGCAAGTGATTGAAACTTTTAAGAGGGTATATAAATGTAAATTACCTTTCCAAAATTTCCAAATCACAGCATCAGCATCTGTTGTTTAATTAATTCTGTGGAAACCCTAAAAAGGGGAAAGAAAACCTTTGTAAGTGGTAAGTACCACGTGTTTTAAGGTGCATTTAAAATTGCAGTTTGAAGTGTTTTTTTTTTTTGTAATCGTATAATCCTTTAGATATATATGTACGTGGTAATTTTTTTTTGAACTATTCTTTCCAAAAATTGTAAAAAGACATAACAAATCTATAGTAGTTTCATATATAAAATAAGAAACATCATTGTGAAATTTTTTGACTATGGCTTTTAGAGACAATGATTAATATTTAATATAATTATAAAATTATTTATTAAAATCTAATTTCGTTTAATTCAATTATATCATAATTTATAATATTTTATTTAAAATTTTTGTTTATTTGAAAATTTCATAAATAATTAAAAACTCATTCTCTACTTGTGAGTTACTTTCTTATAAAACTCAAAAAAATACCCATCATAAGAAACCTCAAAAATCTAAATTATTGAGAAATAATAAATGTTATCTATTTTAGTAATTATATATCTTATAATATTTTTTAAATTTTAATTAATGATTAATAAAATTTACTATATTTTATCCATAATATTTTTAAAAAATAAATACTACACACCAAAATAAATTTCAGTTACGATTATAATACAATATAATTTAATACAATACAATTCAACACAATTACAGTTACAATATCCTATAGTAATCTTAAGCGTACCCTTAAGCCTTTTTACATAAATATCCGTTTTGGTTTTGATGCCCGGTAACGGCATTGCCTTATGATTGTATTTTGTTCCCTTTCCTCACCTTACAGCGTATCTTCGCCACCTTTTAAACGTCTCTACTACTCTACCCTCTCCTAATTCTCTCTCCCTATCATCTCTCTTTGCAGCTGGCCATGTCTGGAGAAGGTTTCTTATGGGAAAACCAATCGTGGGCCCTATCGAATTCGGATAATTCAGGCGGAGGTGAAGGTAAATCCAACGAAAGGGGTGACCAGCCGCTGGAGCCAGCTGAACCAAGAGAAGAAGGTAAGAAGAGAGATCAAGGAGGGAGAAGAGGTGGCGGTGGAAGGAATAGGAAGAGAAGTAGAGATGAAGGGAAAGGAGGCGGCGGCGATACGGATCATGAGATGCATATATGGACGGAAAGAGAAAGAAGGAAGAAGATGAGGACCATGTTTGCTAACCTTCATGCTTTGCTTCCTCGGCTTCCTCCCAAGGTAATAAATATCAATTTTTGTTAAGGAATAAAATTACTCGTTCGCTTCATTTCTTTCCTTCTTTCTTTTCTATTTATGTTGCATGCACTAGATCCCTTTACATTTTTTGATCAATACTTTTTGAGTTCAAAATTTTATATCACTTCAAATTAAAAGGTCTATATTCCTCATCCACTAAAAAAAAAAAAAAAAGAAAAGAGCAAAGAGACGAAGACATCTATGTGAAAGGTAGATGTATATAAATGTACATATATCTATACTTCTTCTACAAGTATTTGATGCCCCAAAAAATCCTCATTTTTTTGGTTGCTTGTTTGTTTTTTGTATGGCCATACTCATGAGAATAGTCCTTAATCGGTGCATGATGATTAGACTTTTGCAAAATTCAAAAATTTGCATTTTAAATAGTGGTAAAACCTGAATTAAACAAGCTAGTTTAGCTTTTTTAAGAATCCTCTTTCTTGTTTCTTCCAACCCTTCTTTATATATATATTTTTCTCCTTTTTTTTTTTTGTTTTTTTTATAAAAATCCATGTAATATTTATCAATATTTTTAATCAATAATAAAGGACCAACATATATTCTATCATGTATGGCAGGTACATTTAATTTTCTAAGAATGGCAGCCAACCTCTTAAATGAGCACCTTCTACTTAGATTTCTTTCCTTATATTCTTTAGCAGATCAGCAGATGTAGCAAGTTAAAAGAGGTAATCAATGAATGATATTGCATCACATTTTACAAAACATTGTAAAGTGAAATGGTAATTTTATAGCTATAATACTATATAGATTGTAAGTTTATAATTATGAAGTATTATTAAATTAGTGAATTCATTTAATATTATAGGTGAACTATTAAATAAAAAAAATTAATTATACGGTGATAAGTCAAAATTATAAATTTGTAATACCATATGATATTGTAACCTTATTACTTTAAAAAGAAAAACATTATAACTTAAAGTATTTTCATTTTTTCTTAAATGAAAACATATATGTAAGTGTAAACATTTTTTTTTGGACAATGATGTGGATACCCAATGGGCAACACCCAAATCCACACACATCTGACCGGTAGAAGTAAAATGGCAAATTTACCCTCTTCACAGCAAAACTCAATCAAGCCCGCTTCCCTTCATCCTTCTATTTTCCATCACCATTCTCACCATCACCGCCACCTTCTTCCTCTCCCTTCATCCCTCTGTTTTCCCGATCATTCTTCTTCTTTCCCTCACCTCTTTCTTTCTTCTTTTTTTTTTTTCCCTCTCTCTCATACTCTGGAGAACCCAGATCGGGTTCTCCGAGAACCCACCTGGGTTCTTCAGGAGAATCCAGGGTGGGTTCTGCGAGAAGAACCCGATTTGAGCCCAGATCGAGTTCTCAAGGAGAACCCAATCTGGGTTCTCTAATAGCTGGAGCAAAAAAAAAAAAAAATTTCAGATCTGATAGAACCAATTGGGATGAAATTGATGACTGGTGGTGCTTGAAATTGCCATATTAAATCAAGTATACATGTGTAGCAAGTATACAATTTGAATTTGGTTTCGGGGAAGGAGAAAAGTGCTGGGATTTGTTCTTGCTATGTAATTTGTGAAATGTTAGGAGGGTAAATTTATCATTTTACTTCTACCAGTAAGATGGGTGTGGATTTGGGTGTTGCCCATTGGGTGTGCACATCATTGTCCTTTTTTTTTATACATTAGATAATGTGCTATATACAAAAATGAATGGTACAGACTCTCCTTTTCATAATCTTTTGATTCTTTATTCATTTTAAAATTTGGATTTAAAATTTTTAATTTAAAATTTAAAATTTAAAATTTTAAAGTCTTCACCACTTAAAACACTCTCTTTTGAAGCAATATAGCTAATAACTTGGTTTTAAATTTTGCACTATTCAATTTCCAAATCATGGTTAATTTTTTTTACCTAATTAATTACAACACATGTAGAACTTACGAAATAAGCTGAATTCTGTCTTTTATTACCGATTGAAAAATTTTGTGCAGGCTGACAAATCCACCATTGTTGATGAAGCAATAAACTACATCAAAACCCTAGAACAAACTCTCCAAAACCTCCAGAAACAGAAGCTAGAAAGGGTCCAAGAAGCCATTGCTTTCAACTACGACGCATCTCCCCAACAAAATCGAGCTTCCGATTCAAGGGAGGCATTCTTAGCTGATCATCATGGACCTTCAACCAGTTCTTCAAATCTGCATCTTACTGTTCCTAGGTTCCCAGTTGCATTTCAGACATGGACTTCCTCCAACGTTGTTGTCAACATCTGTGGCAATGAAGCACAGATAAGCATCTGCGCTCCAAAGAAGCCTTGCCTCTTCACCAAAATCTGCCATGTTTTGGAGAAGCACAAGATCGAGGTGATATCTGCTCATGTGTCGTCAACTCCAGCTGGTCGGCACATGTATATGATTCAAGCCCGAGTAAGTTAATTTCACGACTTCAAAACTTTGATTTTGGTGTCATCGTTGCAATGGATAAGCATATGTACTAGTTAATGTTGTTTCTGCAAGTTTAGAAGTAATTAATACATCTTAGTATATTAAACAGGGAAGTTGCGGAGGTTCGAATCATTTCCCAGAGGCATTTCGTCAAATGGAAGAGATGTTCAAACAAGCTGCAGGGGAGATAATGTATTGGGTTGATTCTGCTTGATCATACAGGAAATTTCAGCCCTAATTAATTTAAGAATCATCCAAGTTTGTGTATAGGTTGAGGTGGGTTCAGTTGGTTATTCTGATTTCTGAACATATCCCTTTGTTTACATATATACAATAGGTTTTGATTTGTTCCTGTGAGCATCAAAAAAGGTGTTCAGATTTGGTCGCTGGATAACTTATAACAGTTAGAAATACATAGAGACGAAAATTTCAAGTGACCTTTTTTTGAAGGGCTAGATAATTAAATTAATGTGAATAGTTCCTTTTTCTTAGCACAGTAATATAGAGATAACTTTTTTAAATTATTTTTTTATATAACTTTTCATATATTATTAAATGAGTGAATGTATTTAATATTATGAATTTTAAGTGAATAAAAAAAATTAATCATTTAAATGACGCATAAAATTATATAAAAAAGTGGTTTTAAATCATTTTCCTTTATCCTAAATATTATACCAAACCTTTCTCTCACTGGTTTGTCACATCTTTTTAATTTAACAAACTATTAAACCATTAATTTTAATTTACTTTTATTTCATTGCACTTTTTCTCAAAACTTTCTATATTTTCTTTTAACGGGGTATAATGGTTAATTAAGATAAAAAAGATATGTTATTTGTAATTGAAGACGTGGCAATACCACCCTTCTCATCCAAAGTGATTGAATTACAATATTTTTTTTCTTATAATGTTTTATAAATGTGATGTGATATTAAATAAATTGTTGAGTAATTGACTCTTTATTCTTGATAAAGTATATGATTTGATATGTATTTATTTATTTAATATCATATCACGTTATATAAAACATTATAGATGAAACATTAATACACACTGCGATGAGAAATGGGGTTGTTTAGGATAGAATTAGCATCAAAGGTTTTATAATTAGTGGATTGTAACTTGGCTTAGCCATTGCTTAAAATTTTTGTTCATGGCGAAAGTGACACTGACACATTTAGAAGGATTACAAAGGGGGAATAAATGATCCAGAAATGGGCCCATTTAATTTATTGTGCCCAATTTCCCTGAGCTTCACGCCAAACGGTTGGGCTTGGCCGGCCATTTTTCAACCCAAATAAAGGAAGAGACCCACACTGACAAAACCCAGACAAAAGGAAGTTTTGGAGGAAGAGGAGAGGGACTTTCCTTATTTTACTTTTTCTTCGTATTTTAGTTTAACTAAACTCTCCCCCGCCCATTTTTTCCCAAAAAAAAAAAAAAAAAAGGGAGAAGAAGAAGAAAAAACGATGGTCCCTCCCGCCGTTTCCTTCAAAGTTCAAACCAAATATGGGTTGGGGATGAAAAAAACAAACTTCACCAGAAATTTGTAATCCCTTGAAAAACTGAGGCAATCAATTGCAATCTTCTAGCAAAAGAGCGATGTTTAGAGGACCATGAAGAGATTCTGCTTGTGATTTTTTTATATCAGGGGCCTTAAAGCTGCATCACTTAACTCTGTAATTAAGGGCACACCAAGTTACCTTACAGGAAGACTGCCAACTCTAAACCCATATGTAGTAGTTAGGAATTGTATAGTCTGTGAAATCCACAGCAGGAAAATTTCTGATTTCTGCTAGTTCATCTTCAGACCAGTGATTAAGTAAAACTCCTGCATTATACAGGCCTATCAAGAAGAGGCTACACTTCACTGCAACTTGCTAGAAAACTTTCACAAAGCCAAACAAAAAGGGCATCTTCCCAAATACCAATTCATAGTAAAGAAGATCATGAGGGGAAGCACATGGTAAATCAAGAATGCCGAACCCAAACAAAAGTTGAAAGGGAAGCACTAGTGTTTTGGGACCCAAATGCTGCAATTCATTGGGTACAAAGACAAAAGAAATTTTCCCCATTTTCTGTAGTAACCAAAAGGTTAGGAACAAAGTTTGGTTTTGGGCATGTGAGTCACCCATCACACCAGGTCATGTGATGCCATGGTTTTATTCCGACCTCCAACATGTGATGTTCATCTCCCACATCTTTTAAGCCACACAAACACGCCCATTTTCAAAATTTTTTGTTGCCAGTACTATCATCATGTGGACCTTTGGCCTAGTAGCACGCCCCCTTTGGCAAAACTATTACTTGGTACTACCTACTATTTAACAGTCCCCATTTCATGTTTCTTTGTCCTAAAGGGAAAATTGACCAAAGAAAAGGAAATGAAATTCTAAATCTACAATCTACATACTTTCTGATTATGTAATTATTGAAAATTTACTTTCTTTTGCAACTATTACATATATAATAATAAGAATAAATTGTTTATTAGCTCAATTTCTAAAAAAAATTAGGAAAAAATAGCCTAAAATTATGTTATTGCATTAAAACTTTCATTGAAAAATATTAAAATAATCTATTTTTAAAGCAGGTTGAGATTGATCTAGCTTTCTCTCATGATATGCTTTAATGAAATAATGTAGTTTTAGAGTGTTTTTCCTCTTAGATCCATTTGACAAATACTAATTTCCAATAGAAATATCACAAATTCTACTAAAAAACATTTAAAATCTCAACTTGTTTTAATGAGAAACCTAAAAGGAATTTCTCATCAAAAAGTTTATTTTTTTGCCCGATTAGTTCCATAGGTAATTTATAAATCATTCCATCTACAAGTATCTAATAAAATTTTACCTTCAAGAGTAGCAACTGTAACATATATTTACATTCAAATAATGATGAAGATATTCAAATTTGCATCCTCAATATGGTTCAAGTAATTCAGCCACTTAAATCAACCCAATGGGTTTCTTCAAGCTATAAGTTGGCTTCATAACAAAGGAAAAGATCTTGGGTTTAAGAGATAGGGTCAATTATAATGGAGTATAACTAATTCCATATCTCGGAAATTTCTATTTTTCAATTATTAATAACTATTTTACATTTTTAATTTTATTTTGTATTTAAAAAATAAAATTTAAAGTATATTTAATTAAAAATTTAAATTAAAAAAAATTAATTAATTTTAATCAAATCATCTTAAATTAACTCAATCTAACATTTTATTTGCAAATCTATAAAATAAGGTCATTTTAAATTTTGAGTTAAAATTATGAATTCAAAACTCAATCCATAACAAATGAATTGAGTTAAGCCTTCTAATTGGATTGAATTTTTTACCAGATTTAATAACCAGGCCCCTAGGTTGGCTAATTTCATTGTCCTTCGAGACACTGACTTCTGGTTACAAGCATTTCACTTCTGCTCAAAAAAACTTAAAAAAAAATAAAAAAAAAAAACTCTGGTTACAAGCTGGATGGACAACAACAAAAGCCTGACTCGTTTGTCTGATATTCTCAAAACCCAACATTTCAAATCAGACTGCAGCAGAATTCTACCAAAAAGCCAAACAGCTAACTTTGTGGTCACAAATCAAATTCCAGTCCCAAATTTTTTTAAAAAAAAAAATTAAAATAATAACAGATCCCTTTTCTTTCAATTTTCAAAATTTTCACCATTCCACAAAAATTCTTACATACAAAAATTACACACACAAAATTACAAATCTCTCCATATACCCCATCTAATCTAAATACTAAAATCTAAAAACCCCAAAAAAAAAAATCTAAAAACTAAAATCTGATGCTAAAATTAGAATTATTAAAAAAAAATTTTTAATCAGAAGGGTACGACCTCGCTGCGAACAAAATCATTCGAGTTGCCGATAGAATCTTCAGGCCACGAATCCCGAAGCAGCTTCAACAACATCTGCGCCTTCCTTTTCGCCCTATCCGTGCACTCGCTCTGCACCAACAGCAACAGCTGTGTTAGTACACCAGCGCCGACTGCCTCCCTCTGGCTTTGTTCCGACGCCGAACACAGTGCCAGGAGAGCTCCCGCAGCGTACTCTGTTGCACGGTCTGAGATCTTCAAAATCGTCTTCACCAGCAGAGGCACTGTCAGCGCGTGCGCCGTTAAGGCCGCGCATCCTTCGGGAACTCTGCACAACAGCTCTACTGTCGCCAGAGCTCGCTCCGCGTCGCACTTTTCCAAATCCGCTAAACGGTCCACCAGCGTCTCTGCCGTTCCGGAGGATACCGCCTTGTGTCTGGTCTGCTTCACCAAGCACAAGGCGAACAGAGCTCGAATGCTAATTTTAAGCGCCGGTGGATAGGAATTTAGATTTCTCAACATATCCGTGACTCCTTCGAAGATTTCATCGACATTGCTGATCTCTGCAGGGAGATCTGACGATCTGGTTCCTGCGAGAACGATTTCGATGAGTGTGGCCGAGTTGACACGGACTTCGATTGAGGAATGAAACAATAGTTGTGATAAATAAGCGACTCGTTCCGGTATCGAAGCGATAGAAGCGCACTCCGATTCCGTGAGTTGAAACATAACTAACAGAGCGAGTGACTCTTGATTCAACTCGGACGACGCATCCGATTCCGTATCCGCGAAGATGATATTAATCAAGATTTCCCGTGCATCATGCGAGGAAATCAGAGAACGATTCTTGTCCGAGTCACGAGCCAGTCCCCTGAGCCGACGCAAAGCAGAGAGACGAGACTGGTAAGGGTTCGACTCGGACGAAGCCTGATTAAGCAAGGACCGAACCAAAGCCGGTTCGGCAGGTTGCTTCGGGGTCGGAATTCGCTCGATTCCAAAAGCCCGGTTCGCGACACACCAATCCTGGATAAGACGGCGTAGGGTGTGGTTGGGGATGAGTGTGAAATCAGTTAGCGGAACGCGAGTCACAGGACAGGTTGTGTTCCCAGTGGCAACCCAGGACTCGATGCTGGCGCGGTCGTAAGTCTGGCCGGTGCTAACGGTAACAGGGTCACGCATGAGCTCCAAAGATATCGGGCACCTAAAATGGTAAGGAATCTGGACGCTCAAATCTAGTGGCTCTAAGCTTCCAGGCATCTCCAGATTTGGACAGGTATGATGCGAAATCGGATGTGGAAGGGGGGAGTCTGGGAATTCCGTGAGAGGATCTGGTTGGGTTAAATGAGGTGAAGAAATGGGAAAACAGGGGAAGGGAAGGGAATGGAGTGGAGAGAGTGAGGATGGGTCTGGTCTTATCTGAATGATCAGAGGGGGGCCACACGTGTGGGGATTTATGATGAGTTTGGGGGAGTTGAGACCTAACCCTGACTCAGAGGGAAGGAAGGTGTGGTCAAAGGAAATGTGCGACTGGTGGGGCCCAGTCTCTTAAAAATCTACACTCCTGTTACATCAACTGGTCATAATCTGACCGGTTTGTTTAATTGGTTTACTGTTTGGAGACCATTATTGATTGGGTGAGGTTGGTTTCTGACGTGGATATTGTAGAAATATTATTTAATTTGGTTAATATTTTATGAGTTTTTTTAACATATGTGTTTAGGATGCATGTTAAAAGATTTGAAAATTTTAAAAATAATATTTAATTTATTAATTATTTAATTAAATTTATCTGTATAGTATTAACTTTAAAATTAATATTTATTTTTACATTTTTTTATATGAATTTATTATAAAAAATATCTTTAAATTGTACTTTAAAGGTATATGTTAAAAACATCTATACTTTATTAGTTTGTATTTTTATTAAATAGTGGATTGTAATGTCTGAAATATTAACTTATAAGATTAAATAATAAATATGAGTTGTTTTATTAATTATTTGTTATTTTTATAATAAAATTAATATTTTTTAAAATAAAATTACATTATTTTAATAAAATAAAATGTGACTATAACCTGCAGTTACTATGCTTTTACAGTTATGCTCTCCAATCTTATTAATTTTGTTTAGGTTTTGTATGAGGTTGTAAATGATTTGAGCTTCTTATTAGATACTTAATTCGAACTTGAGTTGAGATTCATTTCATTTCATTTTTGTTGAGTTTGAGTAAGAATTAAGTTTGAGCTTAAAATTGAGTTTGAAAGATCAAGTTAAATTAGGTTGAGTTTGAGTCACACCCAAAACTTGACTAATTATAACTTAAAGTTGATTAGATTTGACTTAATTGTTCTAAAAAGCAATCATTATATATTAAATAGTTTAATATTTTATTTTATTTTATCTTCAAATTTTAAATTAAAGTTAAATATTTGATGGAGCTAGGGAGTCAGAATTCAAGCTTAATAAATTTAAATTTAATAAAAAATTAAATTTAACTTGATTTGTTATTATAACATTAAACTCAAATTTAAGTTTAGATTTGAAGAAACTCAATTCAACTTAACTCATTTATAACTTAATTTTATACATAAGTGTAGTTTGGAAAAAGATTAAAAAAATAAAATAAAATAAGGCCATATGTAATTCTGTATAGTGTTAAATAAGAGGCTGTTCGGATGGGATTTAATTTGTGTTGTTTAGCCCCCTTTCTTGTAAAATAATTTTTGTTTTTTGGCTTTTGTAACGAATTAAAAATTTGTAAATAATTTATATTTTTATTTACATTAGCTTAAAAAAAAAGTAAAGATGAAGAGAAACATAAACAATAATAATACAGTTAAATTGGAAAAATATTAATTTGTTAACTTTAAAATAATATAAAAAAGACTATAATTATTGAGCTTTTGAAAACATACACTTTTTATTTTAAAAGAATTACCATTTTTTAACTTTTTCTTTAAATTAAATATTTGATAACAATTTATATATTTATTTATATTACCCTAAAAAAATAAAATATAAAAAGAGATATTTTATGGTTAGGATGATTAATTAAAATAAATATATAATAATAGGATAAGAAAAATATTTATTTACCTTAAAAATAAAAAAATAATTAGGAGTAAGCACTTTGATTGCCATGCATTATAGATATATTATTTTTTTTTGACAAAAGTAATGGTTCAATTAGTAAAGTTAATAAGGTTAGTATTATTTATGAGAGGTATTGAATCTAAATTAAGGGTGTAATCCACCAACTGCTCTTTTGGGCAGCAATGGCCACCATCGGAGCCACAGTGGGGAAATGCGCCATGCATTATATAAAATTAAAAATAAGTGTTTCAAATTGACCAACGAATTTTCATTGAGTGAAATTTATTAAAAATATTTAATTAATTTTACAACCATCCCTGTATTTTTTTTTAAAGCTAGGTCAATCCAAAAATCTATGGACCCTTAAAAATAAATACACAAGATAGGAGGGAATAAAATGAAATGAAACTCCACCAAGCGGCTTTATGGCCGCGTGCCTTATTAAGGTCGATGAGTTGTTCACTAGATCTGAGGATCAAACCCCTAGTTGTTAACATTTAACAATACTACTCTACTAACCATTCCTTTTGTAAAAAAAAAAAAATGAAATAGATGGCCAGAAAAAGATATGGAATGAGTCAGAATTCACTCATGCATACATAATTTTCAATAAAGTCAATATTTTGTAAAGAGGATATATGTTGCTTTGCCGTTTATTTTGATGAACTGTACTTTTTTTTTTTGTAAAATATAATTATTAAAATTATTTTTTTAATATAGTTATGCATGTAAAATTATAAATTGATCTCATATATGCAATCATTTAATTAAAAAATTCATATATATTTTTTTATAGAAATTTATAAGATCCATAAACAATCAACAAAAGATTACATAAAAATCTCAATTAAAACAACGTACAAGCATAATAAAGCAAAACTAAAATTATAGAACTAGTAACAAATTATTTTTTCCATTACATATACATAGACAATTAACTAGCTAGTAATAAATTTGTTTTTATTATATATAGATAATTAATTACAGAGTCATTAATTAACAAAAGATTGCCGAAACACTTGTAATATAGAAATATATATATTTATTTTGATTGCATAATAGGAGGTAATTTTCTTCTATATATTATATATCCTATCCTATTCACATGTTATGGGATTTAAATTCAAAAAGTTTTATTTTTAGTGAAAGAAAACTACCATTGCATTATTTAGATTATTGGTGTAATATAAAAATAATTAGTCCTAAGAGAATTTTTTAATTGTGTGTTTGAAGCATGAAAGAAGTCTCATTTGAATGTACAAAAAAAAAAAAGAAGTCTTATATAACACTCAAAGAATGATAAATGAGATCAAAATATTAAAAGATAGACCATATATTATTAATGAATAACTCTTTTTATTTTTTGAAATCCGTACTATTATATATATATTGATTAATTTAATAATATAATTTATACCACATTTATACAACATCATCAGTTCTAAATTTTCAAATTTTCATTTTCCATATTATTACCCTTAAATTGTAATGAAAGAGTTAAAAGTTAGTAACCCACCTCCAACCATGTCTACAATCAATCTAAGCCCAACCAACCCTACATAGAGGCGAAAGAACTTATCGATTTCTATTTTAATTAAATTATTAAATTCTTTTTTCCCCCTAATTTCGTTTATATTAAGGTTTCTTAATTACCTCTCACACTCCCCAATTTTCCTTAATTGAGTTTTCCATAAAAATTCAAAGAAGGGTAAAATTTCAGCAAAATTGCTCTTCACGTGTTTCCAGCTACCACAATTCTACTAAGTGCTTATTTGGTTATTTGGATAGAGACTCACTTTATTAAAAAAAAATTTATTAAAAAGATGATTAAAAAAATTGTAATGAAAGAGTTAAAAGCATTGTATAAATGATTGTTAAGTTTTGTCATTATGTTGTTAAAACTTTATTAAATGATTAATTTTGTTATGTTTAGTAAAAAAATCAATATAGAAAAAGTTAGTAAAAAAATCATTAAATAAGCTCAATAAATAAGTACACAAGAAAAACTTTACAAGTCGTGAATTATTTAAAAAAAATATTCAAAATACTACTTTGATTTCTTTTTTATTGTAATATTAATATATAAAAATATATAAATAACCTTAAAAAAAATTTTCAAAAAATGGAAAAGTTGCCCCTGAGCCAAACACCCCCTAAATGAACATATTGTTTGAGGCAATTTGCAACTTCTGCTGGTACTAAATGAATATATGTCGGTATTTACATCGTAGGGTTACTTAAAAATCCTTCCGGATAATTTAGAGCTTTTTAGTAACTCGTGAATCGAAAAGATTTTCTTGCCCTTGATTTGTAAAACATAAGCTTAACGAGTACCGACAAAAGCATTAACAAAAAAAACATGAAGAATCTAACCACAATGAACATTGTGGCACCTTTTTGTTAAATTAATTTGGCCGTTTGCATTATTGTCTTTGTACTCGGACAAGAATCACTTGACAATTCCATTTTTCTGTGTTAATTCATGTATCCAAACACATCAAAGTGAAGAGAATAAATCCCCCAACAATTATCAAATTGCACTAATTGGTCAACGCGTGCATGAGGTTATTTTATTTATTCACTTAATTGTCATATTTAGAGATAAAGTTATTATTACCCCTTAAATAATTAATATTATATTTTTATATTATATATATTTAAAATTTTATATTTTATATTTTTTAAATAAATTATAAAATAAAATAAATAATTAAAAAATATAATATTAATAATTAAGGGGGCAGCATAACATTACCCCACATCTAGAATCTAGAGTGTAAGATTTATTCTAGGAACCAAAACGAACACCATGCTTAGCTTTGTCATCCTTAATTTTAATTTAAGAAACTGAAAAATAAAAGTTATACAGAAAATCTTATAATAATTATGTGAATTGTGATAGATGCGAATGGACGAGAGTTGAATTGATAACCTTAAATCAGTACTTAAACATCTAAATTCTTAATAAATTGCCTCAAATTCTCATTGGCAATTATGTGTCCTTTACGAACACATACATATATTAAGAAAAAGAGAAGAGAAATGCCTTTATCTCCACGAAATTGGATGACGCAAAAGTCTACTTCTGTGGAGGAGAAAGTTTGAAGCCAGATTGTCCACATTCATCCCTCATTTATAATAGGAGGGATAAATTCACTCCAATAAAATTGAGAATAAATTACCTTATCAACTAATTAATTTAGGCAAATACAACTTAAATAAATGATTCATAATTCAACGTGACGTAATGGTATATAGCTTAGTTAGGCATTTTAACCATGCTGGAGTCTCTTTTTATAGTATGGATGCTAATGTGACTCTTTCTGGCATGGTTGCAGAAGTCGGTGAGCGGTGGTTGGGGGATGACCCACTACCTAGTGTCCAACGCTACTACAGAGACGTGATTAGTCAGGTTGGGCATTTTGCTTCTTCTTCCATTTTTTTTTAATTATTTAAAAAAAGTAAAAAAAAAAATTAGAAAATGGAAAAAAAATCAAAAATTGAATAAAATTAAAATTTTAGGACTGCACTACACATTTTACTAAATTTAAATGA